GATGGAAACCCACCAGCCTCCTAAAAGCGCGTGTGCACGCTCATGCCCTGGAGCCTCTCTGTCTGACACACGGATTCCTTGTTCACTCACCCCACCCCTTAAAGGTTATTTCCAGAACTTCGGTTGTTACCCTTGGCAGCTGTGTTTCACCCACAAATACTGGGAGGCTGGTTTATGAAGTGTAACGTGTTTATCAATGACTAAGTTCCATTAACCTCTGCTTCTGAATCTGAATTCTTCCCTCTGGCCCGGGGCCAGACCAGCACAGCCCCCGCCTCGACTACAAGCAGGGGGTGTCGGGCGGGGGTGACCTCTGAATGCTGAACCTAAGCCACCACACTAGGAGCTTCCGTGCCCAGAAAGTAGACCCCCGAGGCCCTCCACAAAACGAGGGTAGGTCTCCCCTTTGGAAATGTTCTCTGAACCTCAGAAACATGGTCAGCTGGGGAAATGGCTGGCTTTAAGGATCTCGAAGAAGCAGTGAGAATCAGAAAAACCTGCATCCAACCCAGCCATGGAGGTGGGGAGATTCCTTCTGCCTTGGCTTTGCTCTGGATCCTGGTGTGCCCCCAAAGCAGAAGGGCCCGTGGGGGAATGAGAAGGCAGAAAGCAACACTAGGAGGCGTCCCAGGATCGCACAGTTCTCTAGGCAGCGGTGAGGCGGGGGGTGTGGGGGTGGAGGGGGTGTGGACCCTGCCCCTAACTTAGGGCCATTTGTGGTTTTCCCCCACCCAGCCTAAGCTAAGTTCTGTAAAGAACACATGTTTGCCATTTTGGCTTTCTGGTTCATTTCTGGAAACCTCCATGTTTCCCCGCCTTTAGCTCTTTGCTGAATAGAGGTTCCTACGGTTCAGATGATAAGAAGCGGGCCTGAAGGAGATCTTTACAGAGCGGGGCTGGCAGGTTGATGCGGTGATGGTATTGCAATGGGGCAGGCTCTGCCTGGCTCCTGGGGTCATCCCTGGCCTCCCTAGAAGGACAGTAGCCGGGACAGCGAGTGAGCCCGCTGGTGACGGCAGTGGTTGGCATTTCTTAAGTCTTAGGAATTTGGAATATGGAGGGAAGAGCTTTGTTATCTGTTTTTTAAAAAAGGAGACATTTTAGAAGGACTGCAAACGTCACACCCAAAGGTTGACCCTTTTTATGCTGAAAAGCGTGAGCTGGGAAGTGTGCTTAGGTCATTATCCTGTGTCCGGGCCTTTTCTTGGTGCGGACAAATGGTTTTTCCCCCAGCAGTTCTGCTGCCCTTGGGGAGGAGGGAGAACCTGGCAAGGGGCCGGGGAGCAGGGGTTGGACCGGACTGGTCAGCCGAGGCGGCAGGGGGCTGCATTCCTGGCCCGGCCACACGGCGCCCCCCTCTCGCAAATGCAGTTGAGTCCCCATCTTCCCAGGCTGCGGCGGCTTACAGCCCTGCCTTCTCTTTTCTCAGGTATCTGAAAGCAGGGCTTGTCCAGTGAATAGATTAGAAAAGGATATGCCAACTTGTTCCCATACTTGAAAGCCGGAGAAAGCCCTGCTGTGAAGAGAACAAACAGAACCTGTTTGGTGGCTTGTCATTTCAGTGACAACACGAACCTTTCACAGGTGAGCATTCCTCACGCGCCTCCCCTTCCGACTGCCCCCCAGGCAGGCAGCCGGGGTCATAGGCCGGAGCAGGGGGAAAAACACAGCAAACCAGCTCCAGAGCCTTCAGGGAACATGAGGATTTGATGACAAACATATAATATCTCAAGGGAGAGCTGAGGGAGAAAAGTGTATTAGACCTTGTCCGGGCAATCAAAAACCCTCCTAGGGAAACAATGTCCGCATTCTGCCGCCTCCATTAGAGACCCGGCACAGCGGGAACGAGTGTATTGTTTTCATATTTATCTTATTTCTCTCTCTTCGTTCCTCTTGAATAAACATCAAGAACTGATTTCTTAGATCACCTACATCAAAAACATCACCACCAAATCCTCTGTAGGGTCAAAGGCCTCAGAGCCGGAGCTGTGGGAATTTAACGAAGAGAATACCTTTCTGATTTTTCACAAATAAATAGGCCAATTCTGAGGGTCTCCTGAGGCCTCACTTTATCAACTCCTCTAAGCCCTTCGTGAAAATGGGGAGCCAACCTTAGGAGCCCCCCCACGAGGAATTTCGTGGGAAGAATCCTGTACCCTCCATGTCCGTGTGTGCTGCACAGGGAGGGAAGAGCAGGAGTGGGCTCAGGCCGGACCCACCGCCTTTAGCACCTCGACAGACTTCAGACACCCCGTGTGCGGACTGTTACTCTAGTATCCGCGATGTATTGCTGTGTGTGGACGAGACTGGTCATGTGTACATAACTTCCTAAAAGCAAAGAATTCTTTTCCCCTGATTTTGAGCATTAAGATAAAGAGCTTCATAAAAATGGAGAGTGATTTACAGGTATCAATTTGAAAAGAAGGAAAAAAAAAACCTGGGCACTTGAGATTCATCTTTTCTTTTCATTACAGTTTTGCTTTGAAACGGGGTCCTTAACATTCGCTTGAGGATGAGCCTTTGTGAATGTCCTATCACGTAGTTATGGCAGGGGAACGAATACCTCTCTGCAAACTAGATGTTCATTTTATTTTATATTTTATTTTATTTATTTGAGAGAGAGCACAAACAGGGTAAGGGGCAGAGGGAGAAACAGACTCCCCACTGAGCAGGGAGCCCCACGCGGGACTCAATCCCAGGACCCCGGGATCATGACCTGAGCGAAGGCAGACGCTGTACCAACTGAGCCACCCAGGCGCCCCCAAACTAGATGTTTTTGTTAACATGATACATACACAGGTTACTGCATTAACAGCTATCATTTGAACCTCGTACAAAACACATGGCTTTAATTACTAGGGTTTTGGGCACAAGAATGGCCAGAGTAATAGCCAGTATAATTATGAATAAATACAAGAGAAGGATGTAACCATTTAAAAGAAAATAACTGAGCACCAAGTATAAAATGCAAAAACAAAGCTGTTTATACTTAAGATAAATCTCCAAATTTATTTTTCAAAAACGTCATTGTGAGAACAAATATACTAATATATAGTCACGTTGACCTTAATCACAGTGAAGTCATAGGATAGAGATAATTCTCATATTTAAAGGATATTTAAAATGTTAGCCATCTCAAGACCCTCCATTTTTAAACACTGTGTATGGCATCTGTGAAAGGTAATACAGCCCTCAAGAATTCTTCAAACAAAATCCAATACAAATAGGAGCACAATAAAAACTATTTTAAAAACCTGTAAAATCAAAGCACCTATTTAAATTAAGACCATCGAGACTCTATAAGATTATTTCAGGAAGACACGGGCTGGATGAGACACTAAATACCATAGTTCTAAGGAAAAAACTGACCATCATTTTATGGAACTTACAAGGCAGATTGAATACTATGAAAGACGTGCTTTACAGCACATTTAAAAGTTTTTATTTAAATAATACTCAACAGGAGGAAACCGAGACTGTGACACTGGCTGAGATATAATAACAGAAGAGCGTGCCTTGCAACTGGGGCCCTTCCCAGTCTATTTTTAGAGGCTTAAGACTCCAGCCTTAAATAGTTTTAATAATAATGCTTGTGGCTACAACTCATCATGTAACACACAGTCTGGGAGAAAAGCAGTTCTTCTCCGACTGTGGAACCTAGTTTGCTGGGGTTTTTTTTCCCCTTTAAAGCTAATCCTGAGATCTTACTCACAGAACATGAGAGATCTCAAGAATGTTTTTGTTTCCTTCTGTTTACCCTAGCTACCTTGCAACATGCACAACTAGAATTGGGTAATAAATTGAAATCAGAAGGAACTATTTTGCTTCTCTGGAAGCCTACTTGGAATATTACCTTCCTTGGGTACAGAGCGACACATGGGTGATTGTGGAGACAATGGAGATGTGCCCTTAGAGGTTCCAATCTCTGTCCCGTCACAGCTGGTATGGTCGCATCCGTCAAGAGAGTGGGAAGGGCTTGCAGCCTGTAGTCACTTATAGGGTCTTAAGAAGTTTGCAGATATGGACTCACGAATGTATGTGCGTGTGAACACGTTTCTATAAACACACCTTATGTAAAAATATACACACCATACACACTCACCACGTATTTCCCAGTGACAAAGCCCCCGCAGTCTGATGGGCTCACCATGTATCTCCCGTGACAAAGCCCCCGCAGTCGGATGGGCTCACCACGTATCTCCCAGTGACAAAGCCCCCGCAGTCGGATGGGCTCACCACGTATCTCCCAGTGACAAAGCCCCCGCAGTCTGATGGGACTTGCTTTCTGAAAACTACCACCTTTTCCAAATCCAACCTTTCCATTCCACTCCTGTAACGCAAAATTACAGTAAATCATACTCTGAAGGGTTCAATTTTCAATTAAAAAAAAAAAACACAAATGGGCAAACGAAATCATATCCAGAAACAAAGATACATCTAGGGTTAACACACCAAACTTTACCCCTGAAAAACAAACCGAAAAACCAAAGGAGATGCTTTGAGATGTTATGAAAATTGAACAGGCATTTTTGTTTTAGGAAACAGAGAAAAGGAAGAGAAAATCCCTTTCATGGATAATTGGGTGTAAGAGATCTAACCTGGCTTGGGTGTCACATGTCCTTGGGTTAAGAGTCTAGATGAGAAATGGAAGAATAACAAATCAGACCCAATCCCCCTCCTTCTAAATCCAAAAAAAAAGAGATATGGCATTTAGGGTTTTCAGGGTTCTTCTCTGAGCTTCTGGAAAAAGGAAGACAAGTTACCAGGCCATACTCTCCCAGAAGGATCGCCCTGCTCGGATGTAGCAGCGGAGTCAGGTGGCACTTCCTGTCCCCACTCCCTCCGCCCGGCCTGCAGAGTCCTGGCACCTGTCATCTGTCATCCTCCTCAGGGCACAGCCCTGGGACCATGGCCACTGCTCCTCAGGCGGGCACATCCGTGTTAGGCCTCACGGGCCTGGCCATCGTGCCTCTCCAGCACTGCCCCTCCCCCATCCTCCATCACAAGTTCTCCTTCAGAAGGCCGAGCTTGCGCAGGGCCTCCCGGCGGGCCTCCTCCGTGGATCCGCGGCCAGAGAACTGGACGGTGATGCCCTGGGGCCTGAACCCAACAGCCCTGGGCAGCGAACCCGACCGCTTCCTGGCATCCTGGCTGCAGTCCGGCGGCCGGTGCTCGTAAAAGCTCCTGCTGGCATTCTGGCGGGCAAGTTTGCCGGCAAGCGCTGGGTCTGGACGGAAGGTGACAGTTTTTCCCGTGGAGACGACGAAGGCACTGGGCTCACTCTTCAGGACGTCGTGGATGCTCTGGAAGCCGTTGGGCAACGGCAGGCACTGTTCTGTCTGCACGCCTCTGGACTGCTGCTGAGTGCCGGCGTGGCCGCCAGCCCGTGTGGACGCGGTTTCATGGACGGGGCGTGGCTTGCTCTGGCCACGCGTCGCCTGCTCGGTGACATCAGCCCTGGGGGCCCGGTCTTCCACTTCCCCGGCGGCCAGGAAAGAGATGCCATTGATGTTGGCCAAGACCTGGGCCTTCCGCTCCTGCACATTGACGGCTGCTTTGGAGATGGTCTTGTTGAACTCCTTCCCTGCGCTGTTGGTCACGCTGATGTTGCTCGGGAAGCGGTGGATCTTGGGTGCAGGCTGGGCCATGTGTCTGTGCCCCAGGAAAGGGTCCCCGTTCCGAGGGGCCCCCGAAGGCAGTGTCCTCCAGTCCCCAGGCTTGCCCTCCTTGGAGGGGGATGCAGGTGAAAGCGCTTCATTTCCAGCCAACTTCTCGGACATTTTCTGAGCGATTACCAGTGGGGTAGGAACAGAGCGGGGCAGTTTGGGGTGCTCTGTGAGGGGCGCAGGGGCAGGCAGCTCTTTCCTGGGGGGCGCTGCCGCTGCGGCCACAGGCTGGGAGGGTAGCACAGGAGGGGTCTGTGGACCTGTGGAGTCTGGCGAGGACGGACCCCCGGCTTCTGGGTTCCTACCTTCAAGGACAGGAATGTCTTCCTTCCCCACAGGGCCAGCCCCTGAAAAGGAGGCAGAATCCTCATCAGCTCCCACCTTAGGTAAAAATAAATGCATCCTATTTCCTTCTTACTGAATTTACGATGGCCTCCAAGGGACATAAAGCCAACCTCAGAAGCGATGTCAGCATCCCACCAGCTAAACTCCCTGGCCCAGTGAAGGAGAACATTCTAGGTGAGTCTCACCACCACGTGATGAGAAGGCATCAGCCGGTGACCATGGAAGACTCCAGTCTGAAGGCTCAGCCCCTGGGATGCACACTAAGCCTGCAGGCTTCTAAGGACGCACGTTATCAGGAGGGAATAACAACCTGCCTTAGGACGGGGTGCTGCCAAGGGAAATGGAGGCGGGAACCGCATCAGGTGTTTCTAGATGAAGCTTACCTGGATGTGTCAGACAGCCCCGGGCAGAACTCAATACACCAGCCTCTGAGCCTTTGCAATATCCTTACCAGATACGGATCGCAGGTCACCCGACGCCGTCTGCGCCTACATGCACGCACCTGTCTCTTGCTGCAGAACTGCAAGCCGTATCTTATTTGTCCCTATCCTTGGAATCTCACACAGCGCCTGCCAGAGCAGGCACTTGCAACTGTTGTGAAAATGTCACGTTAGAGATGGATGGGCAGGGCGGCTTTCCCTCGCTAAGTGTTTCCCTTGGCATAAGTATACGATCTGGCATTTTTAAAGGATCAGCAGGTTCAAGTTAGCTGTAGGAACTACACTTCAAAGAAGTGTGATAAAAATGGGAAATTCTTATTCAGTCTCTTCTTTGCTGACGTGGCTGCACACGAAACTCCACACCTGGAGTTGAGAACCCCGGTCTGTGAAATTTGATGTAACACATGGCCTTGCGCACACACACACACACACACAACCACACACACACGAAAGAAAATATATTTCTAGAGGCTTGTGACAAACAGCAATGTTTTGTAGTAAGAGCCCAAATCCTTTCCCTTCTGTTTCTCCCTCATCCTTCCAATTCTCATCCCCTTGCCCAAATTTATTTCCAGTATCTCTTCCAATCAGGAAAAACAGTGCCAGACAATCCCACCTCGTCCATCCTGTCTGCTCTCACAGGATTCAAAAGACAAAAAGCATGCCTCTCCTTTGAGGCCGCCCTGAATCAAGCAAACCTACAAACCTACAACCTATTAGATGCTGAGCCAAACTCTTGTCCGCTCTTTTTCTGTTTTCCTGAACCAGCGGACTTTTCAGTCCAAATACTCCCACTTTGGAAAGTCACACTAGAGAAACGGGTATAAGATTGTTCAAAATCTGAGATCAAACCCAAGGGCTAAAATATAAGTACCTTGTCTGTTTTCTTCGTAAAATGAATTGTTAACACCTGGAAGTCATTTCCAATTTTCTTTCTCTCTTAATACATATACGAATCGATTCGTGTGGCCAGCTAGTCTCATTCTTTATTTTGGCCCTTTTGGAATTTCCCTTCATGGGCTGTCTCCTAATATGCTACGAAAGCATCCACTTGGTTGGACACTCAAACTACCAAGAGCATGCAAAAACCTGATGAGGCCGCACAGCATCCATACTGGCCGCGCACAGGGGAAGGCCACAATGTCCTCTAAGACCCTAACGAACCAAGCCAGAGGCCTGGGGATTGGGCTTCGCTCCTCACCTGCCGTGTCCGTCCCAGCCGGGAGGCACTCCGGTTCCCCTGCCCCTGGAGCTGGCTGCACTAAATCAATGACCTCTCCTGGCTCGTGACTGGAAGCATGCTCTCTGAGAGACCCCAGAGAGTGGCCGTCACATAGGACTTGCTCTTCAAAGTCATCTTCCAGGGAATCAATGGTCTCTTCAAAAAACAGGATGACATCCTTTTCCTCATGGGTCAGGTACTTCAGGCTCTCATCATCCTATACAACAGGTGTGGGGATTGGGAATAGAAGGGTTAAAACAAACAGTCATTTTGCTGAAGAGAAAAAGTAAGACAAAGTTGGGATCTGTGCAGAGCCCCGGGTAGAATCCACGTGCCTCTCAGAGTTCCCGTTGGGGAAAGTCTGCCATTCAGGGGGCCCCATGGACAAACGTGTCCCTCCCCATTGTACCTGCATGAAAAAGAAAGTTGCCAAGAAGCTACAGCAAATACAGGGTCTTAGAACCTATTAACAGCTCCAGCCTAATGGTTCCTGGTGAGTCAATGACCAAAAAAATAATTCTTCTTCAAACCTCCTTGGAACACTGTTCTCAACTGACTGCTCTCAGACGTCTTCCCATAATAGCAGTGGGGGACATCTCTGGTTGAAGACAGTGACGTGAATGCACATATTTATGTCCTCTTCGTCCAGAAACCTCACTAAAACAACGGGATTTATTTATTTTTTATTTTTTAATTTTTTTAAAAATTGGAAGGATACTTGATTAGTACATAGCTTTTTTTTTTTTTAAAGATTTTATTTTTTTATTTTTTGACAAAGAGAGACACAGCGAGAGAGGGAACACAAGCAGGGGGAGTGGGAGAGGGAGAAGCAGGCTTCCCGCCGAGCAGGGAGCCCGATGCGGGGCTCGATCCCAGGACCCCAGCATCACGACCTGAGCCGAAGGCAGACGCTTAACGACTGAGCCACCCAGGCGCCCTGGGATTTGTTTTAAAGGCACAAACCACAAAGGCAAAAATAATAGGAATGGAGACATCAGCCACAAAATGTGGGAAGTTAGGCAGTAGCAGGACAGGTGTAACCGACTCCAAAGACCCAGGGAAGCTGGGTTTCAGCCGGCAGCCGCGGGACGCCAGTGACCACCCTGCTGAGGTCGGGAGTCCCCCCGCCCCCCGCTCAGGCACTGGGGGTGCAGAGCAGTTTTGGGAGGGGAGGCCAAGAGGGCGGTGGAAAGAGCAGAATTGGTTCAGCAGGAATGAGGTCACCCCAGCAGAAAACTAGATGTTTTTTCTTAAAGAAGGTAAAAGAGGGATTTGAAGAGAGCTGATCGTGAAGAATCGTGATGGAAACGGGGAGTAAATGAAGCCAAACAGATGCCCTGTCGACAGAAACCCGGAAGTCTTCCCTGGGGCATCTGAATGTCCAAGGGCCCAAAGGGGCCGACCCCATGGGTTCCCCAACGAAGCAGCTCAGCAAGATTCCCCCTTCAGATGAAGACCACAGTCACCAAACCCCCACACAGAATTTCTAATCAGCTTCTCAATGTCCTCTCTTAAATATGTGCACATGCAGAAACTGAGCAGCTGAGAAAACCCTTTACCATGAAAGACATACCTGAACAAACAAAAAGGAAAAGAAAGCAACCTACAAAAACAAACTATGCAGAATTGATGACAATTTCTAAAAGATGACTATTAATGTCCTCAGAGAGATGAAGAGATACTGAATCCATCAAGAATAGAATGCTCTTAAAACAAAAACCCAGAGGACCAAAAACAGCTCTTAGAAATTAACACTAGAACAGCAGAACTGAAAAATGAAATCAAAGCCTAAAAGATAAAGTAGAGAAATGAGTAAAGTAAAACAAATAGACAATTAAAAAAAAAACAGGGAAGACAAGAAAATTAGAGAATAAGTATGGGAGGCCAACATCTGATAATAAGAGATCCAGAAAAATAAATCAGAAAAGTAGAGGGGAAGAGAGTATCAAAATAAATAAGTAAAGGAATTCAAGGAGAGGCCTCTCAACTGAAGGCTCTGAGCTTCCATATGGAAAAGTCACCATTAGAACAACATAATGAACAAGAATGAAACAGACCTATGTCAAGGCACATCACTGAAATCTCAGGATGCTGAAGACCAAGATCCCAAAATCTTTCCAGAATGAACATCAGGTCACAAAACAAAAGACCAAGAATCGAAACAGCAACAGACTTCTCAGCAGTGATATCAGAAGCCAGAAAACAACATCATGATTCCTTCAAAATTCTGAGTGAATTGAGAACTAGAATTTTATGCCTAACCAAATTAAGGTGGTGGTAAAATAAAGATGCTTTTTAGACAGGTGAGGTCTACACAATGGATCTCCCATGTATGCCTTTCTCACGAAGCTTCTGCAGGGTGGTAGGGGAGTGGGGTTGCTCCCCTAGACAAAGGAGTAAACCAAGACATGGGAGCTGGGGACCAGGAGAGAGTGAGAGAAAGCCAAAGGGAATCCCAGGACGCTGGTGACATCCCCAGGATGTCAACGGTGCAGTGAACAAATGCAAAGCAAGCAAATAAAACCTGCACAGTTATTAACCACAGAAGACTAAAGTTATGAGAAAAGGCATATATCTATGAATCTATTTGCCTATAGTAATAAGCACACACACACACACACACAGACATATGAATTATATTCACATTCACAGTAGCAAGAAAACAAGCAAAACAAGAAACCACCGAAAATGTCCAACAATAAGGATGTGGTTAAACAAATCAAGGCACCTTCACAGATGGAATATTATAAACGGTGTTTTCAAAAGAATATAAAGCTAAGTGGAAAAAATGCAGATGGAAAAATGGAGCTTTCTTAATTTGACTTAAATATATGCATACTTAATATTTACCCCCACAAAAGAAATACCGAAAGGATAAAGATATATAGTAAAATGTTGATAGTGGCAGTGGGAGGGTGTGAAGTCAAATAACAAAGAAACAGGGTGAGTTAAAAACTGTGTCCTCTATGGGCACCTGGGTGGCTCAGTCGGTTAAGCGTCTGCTTTTGGCTCAGGTCATGATCCCAGGGTCCTGGGATCGAGTCCCGCATCGGGCTCCCTGCTCAGCGGGGAGTCTGCTTCTCCCTCTCCCTCTGCACCCCCCTTGCTCATGCTCTCTCTCTCTCTTGCTTGCTCCCTCTCTCTCAAATAAAATCTTAAAGAAAAATGTCATGTCTTCTAGTGAGTAGGGAATGGGAGGAGGGTGCTTTTCATAACCCTGTGAAACTACTTGACCCTCTATGAGTACAAACTTTGATAAAACAACAAAAAAAGTGGTGGAAGCAAACGTGATTAACAGCTGACCCCAGCAGGGGCGTGAGGTGGGTGGGTGGCACCTGGGTGTGGCTTCATCGGTTAAGCATCTGACTCTTGATCTCAGCTCAGGTCTTGATCTCAGGGTCATGAGTTCAAGCCCCACGTTGGGTTCCATGCTCAGCGTGGAGCCTACTTAAAATAAAATGAAAAAAAAGAAAAAGAAAAAAATTGTTGACCCAGGTGGTGCAGGAGAATGCTTTTCACATTGGGATCTGAGAGGTTACACAAATGCCCACCCACCCAAAGCACCTGACTCCCAGGCCCATCAGAGAGCCAGCAGGCTTTACAAATTTAGAGACGGTTTAAGGCATTCCTTTGTTTTTGGTATGATTAACCCGAGAATACATGCAAATTTCTCAAGCCAGCTTGGCTATATTAGTTTAATCCTGAAGGCAGGAGGACTCTGGGCAAGGTGACTGCCCACAGCCAGGTTCAGTGGGCAGACAGATGGAATGGCATGGGCTGGGTCAGCAGACAGAGCTGAGGACAGCTAGGGAGAAGCAGCTACACACACCCGCCAGATATAAAGCCACATACCACTGCAGGGTCCCAGGTTGCTTTGGTAGACACGACAAACAGCTCTCCCAAGTGCTTGTCCCGGGCGCGCTCCCGCCCACAGGCCTACTGGCTCTCCTTCCGTGGCAGGCACGCACCAGTGTCCCATTGTGATTTTCCATCCGCTCCCAAGAAAGCAGTGTTGCACTTTTTTTTTTCTTCATAATACTTAGCTGGCTATTTGGAGATCCTCTTATGAAGTGCTGCCTGTTCCTGTTTCTATCAAGTTGTCTTTTAAAAAATATAGTACTACACGTACTAGATAGACATCATTTGTTGGATATATTTGTTGCAAATATCTTCTGCTATTCACTGGCTATTCGCTGCTATTCACTGCACTAACGTTGGATAGGCATTCTGGTCGGATAGGCTTCTGCTATTCAGTGCTACAATTCATCTGGAAGGGACGTCTGTGTATGGTATGAGGTCAAGAGTCTTTGTTTTCTAAAGTGATACCCAATTGTTCTAGCACCATGCCTTGGAAAGACCATCCTCTCTCCCTTACAGGTCCCCTTGGACGTGTTGGGTCTGTTTATGAATTCTCTTATCTGTCTACTTGTCTATTCGTATACCAATTAAACAGTTTTATTTTTTTAAAGATTTCATTTATTTATTTGAGAGGGAGAGACAGCGAGTGAGAGAGAGCACGAGCAGGGCTGGGGTCGGGTTCAGGGCCAGAGAGAAAGGGAGAAGCAGACTCCCTGCTGAGCAGGGAGCCCGATGTGGGACTCGATCCCGGGACTCCAGGATCATGACCTGAGCCGAAGGCAGACGTGCCACCAACTGAGCCACCCAGGTACCCCTTAAACACTGTTTCAATTATTATAAATCTCGCTATCTGGCAGTTTAAAGCCTTCCAGTTTTGCTGGTCTTCTCTAAGTCTGCACTAGCTCTTTTGGCCCTTTTTATTTCCATGTGAATTTTAGATTCAGCTTGTCAGTTTCCATACACCCAGATACACACACACCCTCTGCTGCGACTTTGGGACTAACAGAAGTTCCTCAAACTGAGGAGAACTGAATTTTCCAGTGTTTTTTGAATCCTCGAATATGGTATACACCCTTACTTACTTAGATTAGTGGCTCTCGAGCTGTGGTCCTTTCACCAGCAACTGCAGAACCTCGGCACAGCACCTAGAACTACAAAATCTTGGGCCCTACCTCAGATCTGCTGGATCAGAAGCATTAAGGGCCTCTGGTCTGTGCATTAACACATACTCTGGGAAATACTGATGCACTAACGTTAGATAGGCATTGATTTGGTTCTTCAACTTTCCTCAAGAATGTCTTAGAGTGTCAAGTCTGAGATTTTATGCAGTTGTCATTATATGTCTTCTTAGGTATTTAA